ACGCGGCAATCTTAAATGAACAAACGGATCATTCTCTTGCCGGTTTGGAACATTACGCGTCTCGCCGCCTCCGTATTCAGCGCCGGCTTGTACCTCACACTCTTCGGCAACACGTCATTGTCGAGACATCTGTGCAGAAACCGGATCTGCAAATAGGTTGAGGCCTCACGAAGGGTAAATATTTCCCATCGTCGGGCCGATTTAAGCGCATCGCGTCCAAATAAATTGCCGATACGAGCGAACATGCGTGTCCCAGGAAGCAATTGAGAAGAAGAAGACTCGATCGCTGGGACAATATGTTTATTCGCCTAACGTTTCGGCATCCGTCACGGATTCATCATTAGAGACATGAACAGTAGTAGGAAGTATAAAAACTGTGAAGCCTGTGCATGTATCCACCTCATCTGCGCATGACCATGCCTATGCTATCATCACTTATGATTAAGTATTCCTGAAGGAATCCGAAACGTCAGGCTAATAAAACTCTTGTTCCAGTGATCGCATCTTCTTCCTCTGAACTGCTTCCTGGGACTCGAATATTCTCTACTGTTGGAAAACTGCAGTCTCGACAATCACAGTGTTTATTGAGAGGACCGCAAAAACTAAGAGGGAAATCGACTTAATTACTGGAAAACGAGTATACAGGCTGCAAATTACGTGCACTTCAGTTCTTATAAAATAAGTAAATATTTCGCTTCTTTATAAGGGCTGTGATTGTAGTAAGCAGTCAGCGAATGACCGTGACTACTTTGGATACAAGCGCGGATGCGAGTCTCATAAAATAATTGAGAAGAAGTAGGCGCGATCGCTTGACTTTTTGGATCCCCGCCCTTGAACTCAGCGTTCGCGTCTACTTTTTTTCAATTGATTGCTGATTTCCTTTGTCAGCAATAACGTTACTCATAATTTTCTTATTGGCTATATTTCTCTGACAAATTGCTGAAATAATCTCTTTATTATTTTCCGAAGCTAGGCACACCTCCTTTAACGTCGCACCAAAGAGAACTTTTTGCAATGTCTACTTCCTTGGAGAAATAGGCAAGATATATTTTATGGAGAAAAAACGATTTTCGTTGCAGTTTTATGAAGACATGCTCCTTTAGCTTTCAAATTACTAACGTAAGTCATAATTTGTTGGGTTTAGGACAGCATACTGACTGATTATGACCATCGGCTTGGGAGAACTACTGGTATCTGTAGATGCCCTTCGCTTGCAAAGGGTCCTTCAAGGCTTCCGATAAGGATATCCTTTAAAGGTACGCTGAAGATTGATTAAAGGCTTAAAATTGCCAGTTGGACCAGTGGTCCTTCGTATATACCGCGCCTAATGTGTTTTCAACGAACGATGTTGTTCATTTAAAATTTCGTTTTCTTTCCCCGAGCAAATAATGAGAAAAATGCAAAACGCTTGGCCAGGGCGATCTGTGGAACATGAATATTCCCAGTCAGTCATACAATCATTATATCCGCATATTCTGACCGAACATATTGCCTGGCCAAGTGGTCGTTGTCTTTTAAATTTATCGACGTACCTCATTTAAACAAGGCGAAGATCACGAGTTGAGCAGAATTTAATGACGTCATAAATTTCGTGACCACTCATTCAGCTGCAGACGGTCATTGCCTATTAATAAGAGAATTAGCTCTCCAAGTAAGTGTCAGCCTCGAAGGGTTAAACTTGATAGGTAAAGGAAGTAGAAACAATTAGTCATAGGTGTGGGCGCATGGTGAGGGGTAGAGGAGGGGGGAGGCAATTGTCACAGCATGACAGTTCATGTTAGTGCACGTTCATGAAAGCCTGTAGGACGTAGTTAAAAGGGGAGGGGGGGTTGGGGGCAAGGGCAAGGGACAGGGTAGCAGTCAGTCCTAAGGGTGACGAGGAGGCGTAAGC